GATTGGTGACCACACGCATCACTGATGGGGAAAAGTGGGATAAAGGCAGCAATGAAGTGGTGAGCTAAGCCTTACAATATTCAGTGGATTTCTGTGGACCCGGCTGGGGACGTGGTTGGCAAGCAGTGTGAGGAGATCTGGGGACTCTGGGGCCCAGAGTCAGTGGTGTGGCCATGGAGGACTCAAGTGGAGAATGGAGCTGCCGGCTGATGGGAAGAGAGGGCATGTGCACAAGAACACCCACACTTGCAGATGGTACCTATGTGACCTGGACCGGATGACTGGATGATCAGAGCTCAACCAGGAGAAAAAAGAGGGGAAAAAAAAAAAAAAAAAGATTGAGCTGATACAATCTGATGAACTTGACCTATACCTACGAATGCAGTGACTCAAAAGAGGCAACAAATCCTTACAGCAAGAAACATCCCCACCCCCTCCACACACAGAGTAGACAGAGATGGGCAACTTGGACATTGGATACCCAAATGGGGAAGGGGGGACTATGAAGGCAAGAAGTGACTGGCTTACAAGCTTTCAAGAGGGAACCTAGAGCTAAGGGGCATGAAGGAAGGCAGAATCACCAGTGAGTACTAACCAATCTGTCTGGGCGGAGCTGATGAAATGAAATACAGATGGGTAACTCGTGATACTGTAGTGAATAATGGTATCAAGACTGATTGTGAGGGTTGGAAATGCAAAGGTAGACATTTTGTAGCAAGGAAGGGAGTGATTATTTTTCTAGTCTAGGAGCGGAGGTCTCTGGAACCATCAATGGAGAAGAGCCGAGAGCGGGATCCTACCCAGAGAAGCAGGGATGCCTGTGATGGAGACAGAGACGATGACATGGAGTGATGAAGTGGCTGGGGACTTCGGATCCAGAGAGGGAGAGGGACTGTGGGCCGAAGACGGGGGTAGGGGTGGAGTGTAGAGGACGGGTTTCTAAGATGTACCCTTTGGTCAGAAGATGATGCATGGAGGGGATTGGAACCATGACAATGAAATGATATACGAAGGAATGAATGTAAGTAAACTATCATATAATTCACAATAAAACATTAAAAACAAATTACCTTTATAAGACAACAGTTTAGGGGGCAGTGAGTCTAAATTAATGGGGGCTAGGTAAAACAACTAGCAGAAATGAGAATGATTCTCAATCAATGTCACAACAATATATATAGAAATTATTAAGTGGGAGCATGCTTTGATGTATTGTTACCATAAATTTTGTTTTTAATTAAAAATACATCAACAGTGAAAGCACAAAGTAACTACTATTTATAATATTATCCCTCTAGTACTTTTTTTCCATTTTACAACAACGTTTGGGATATTTATTAGAAAGAATCTTGCCATTTAGTTATCTGCTCACAAGAACATTAGTGTTGTAATAAACAAGTGGCCAGAAATTTCCAACTGTAGTTTATAGCTCTCCTGGTTCTTACCAACACAGCCCATATTCCTTATATTTTTACCACTGTGACAGTGGCAGATACAGGAGTTGGGTGCTAAATTCTGTTCCCTAATAATAAGCTATTCTTTTTCTATCTGAAAACAATGGTGGTCATCTTGGGTTACGATGCCTAAACTACTCCAGTGTGGAGTAGTAATTAAAAGACTCACGTGTATTCTTCGATGCCGGTAGCTGCCTACTGAGCTGATACATGTACTTGTGTGATATGAAATAGCTAGGCTTAAGAGTGAATAGGATTATGCTCATTGGTATAGTGTTCTAAATCATCTGTGTTACTGAATGATTTGACAAACCCCAGAATCCTAAAAAAAAAAATTAATTTATTGCAGGGACACTGCAATAAGGAATACCTCAATTTTAAAAAGGGACAGGCAAATCTTTTTTTTTTTTTTTTAAGAAGTTCATTCCAAAATAATTAATTGCTTTCAAATAGCATGGCACTAGATCATTAAGAGTGAAGTAAACATTTTACTTTTGCTAACCTTCTTTTATGCAGCATACTGACCCATACATTTCCATCCTTTTGCACATGATTTATTGAGGATATTCTCCTCATCTACCACTGACTTGGCATTTATAAATCAAAGTACATTATATAAATCTAAAGGCTATCATTTCTAAGAATAAAGCAAACTATTATTAAGATACCTAAAATGTTTATGTGCTGTGAACCATATGTGGTTCAGTGAATTACATGATATGGTATTTCTAGTACAGTCTTTGTAACTCTCACCAAATAACAGAACTGGAGCAAGCAAATAGGGTGCATGAAAATCTAACATAGGGATTGGTCGGTTTTTTGCCATTCTGCTGGGTTTTGAATGAGCCATTTCAGAGGGAATACAAGGGATCTCACTATCATCATGAAAGAAGAGTCATGAATAGAGCCCATCCTTTGGTCTCTGAGATCACTGGGTACAAAACTTCCTCAATCTAGGAGATAGCTGAGACACCAGAGAAAACACAGAGGAACCAAACAAAGTGGTTTGTCTGAGACACGAGACAAAGTGGTGGGATTCCCTGCTCACAGAGGAATATAGTTAGTTGAGTGCCTTCAAACAAGAGGTTCACCTGCAGAGAAGGGTGCCTCCAGGATCTTATGGGGTGGCAGGAGGGGGCTGGAGCTATTGCTGAGTGCCTCTGGACTGAGGCTTACTTAAGGTGAAGAGGAGTGCCTATTGGGCATTTATCAGCAGTGCTACAGAACTTTGTAAACTTGTCCAATAAGGGCAGAAGCCAAGGGGTCTCATGGTTGAGAGTCCAAGGACCAAAGATAAACATGTCTGTGAGCATGACCAAGGAGAGGTGTTCCTGATAGAAGAACTGTAACTTGAACATGTCGCATCCTGAATTGTAACCTGTTAACGTCCCATAAAATATTTACTGAAGAAGATCAAAGAGCACAGCCTTTGGTATGGATTACATCTCAATGTAAAGAAAACAAAAATCCTCACCACTGGACCAATAAACAACATTCTTATCAGTGGAGAAAATATTAAATTGGTCAAGGACGTCATTCTTCTTGGATCA